AAATGCAATGTTGGCAACATTTCAATGATAGTTAGGTTACATATTTTATTTACTGATTTCATTTTCAATATGCAATTACAATTTGTAAGATCCAATCCAATATGTTGGATTTCCCTGATATGGGAAAGATGGATGCCATGTAAACCCCCCTTTTTGAATTGGATTCATTACTTTCCTATCAGTTTTTTAAAAAATTCTGATAATCCTCACATATAACCCAACATAGAATAAAATATAATTTAAGTTGATCTACCAATGGAATAAATACACTCATCTACTACCTTATTTCAAGTACAACGCAAGTATCCTACTTTATGGACCTAATTACTCCTTCCTTTATCTGATAATTTTACTTACCAGTTCGATGAGAACTAAATTCCCCTATTTTAAAAAGTCTGTACTTATTTATAGATTGATTTTTGTGCTAGGAATAGTTTTTTTCTACTAGAAATATTGTAATTTTCTTAATTCATCAGATGTTTTGTGAGTTTAAGTACACAGTTCCTGCTAAAGGTACCATCGGCACTGATTTATAAATAACTTTGAAGTTTACTTTCTCTTGCTTGTAGCTCTGCCAAACAAAACCTTTTTGAAATAATTTAAAAAAAGTGTAAGAGTATTATTACTCTATTCAATTGTTAATTAATTAATTAAATTCAATTTTAAATACTTTGACTCCACTCAAGATTTGCTTGCCTTGGCTTTGAACTTGACAGGTGAAAGAACCCGGTCTTGCTTATGACAGAAAAAAAGACTTGGAACCGCCTTGGAATTTAATTAATGTCATATAATATAAGTCAAAATTAAAGTACAGCTGTGAGACTAATAATCCCTGTTTTTCCCATATTTACAGTCGTAATATTAGAGAAACCTCAAAACACCACAGCAGTGGAGGGTGAAACAGTCACATTTAGCTGCTGCATCTCCAACTCCAATGCCTCTGTCACTTGGATGAGGAACAATGTGCCAATCCAAGCAGGAATCAAGTATGATCTGAGGAAGAATGGTGCAGTACATCAGCTTCGAATCCACAACTTGTTGCCCGAGGACTCAGGAAAATACCTGTGTGACACTGGGGATGCACAATGTGAGGTCACTTTAACTGTGCAAGGTAAACCAAAAATCATTGCCATTTATATTGAAAACTGGGCCTTGATAGGAACCAAGAAATACCCAGTCTGGTTACACAGACAAAAACATGTTGTTTCAAATCTTTATGTAAGTTTCTGTCAGCACCTCCAAGTAATGTCATACTTTACCAACCTGCCAGGTGCCCCAGTGTTCTTCCAAAAAGAGCTCAAGAACCAGGAAACCATCGAGGGTGATGATATCACCCTGCACTGTGAGGTGTCTAAGCCAGGTGTTCGAGTTGAGTGGCGGAAAGGAGGCATTGTCCTCCGGCCTAGTAAGAAGTATGAGATAAAGCAGGAGGGGTGCATTCAAGAGCTCTGTATTCATAACCTGGAATCCGAAGACAGTGGTTACTACACTTGTGATGCAGGAGAACAGCTCACTACAGCTTCTTTGGCAGTAAAAGGTAGTGTCCATTGTTGTTCTTTCTATGTCTGTCTTGATTGTGTAATGTCTGTCTGGTATAATGTCATCTTGTTTGGTTTTTCAAACCAATACAGTGCTGATAATGAGTATGTTTAAAGCTTAGTGTGTGCATGTGTGTATTTTTCACTCAACAGTGAAAGAAGTCTTCATTGTTACTGGTCTTAAAACCACTGATGTCTTTGTTGGGGAATTGGCAACATTCTCCTGCCAGCTGTCTGGAAGGGCGCCTGGTAAGGTGCAGTGGTGGCTGGATGGCACCTTGTTGGAGAACAGCCCCTGTATTAAAATAGGGGTGGAACAAGGCTTTATCCATACACTCACCTTTATGAACCTGGCTACGGACGACTCGGGCACTGTCACATTCAAAGTGGGCAACTTAACCTCATCTGCCAAGCTCTTAGTCAAAGGTATTCTGTTTAAGGATCTTAGTCTTGCAGAAATTAAACTAAGACATTTAATACCCTCCATTAAATGCAGAGCTCCAAAAGTGCCAAATTTCAAGAAAAATAAATAATGAACTATTATTTAAATGTGTCATTCAATAACTAGAACAGAAAGCAAATCCAAACATCTCTTAAATATACAAATTATTCTGTTTGTTAATAAAGTTGTTGTTTTAGGATGTATTTGATGATATGCTGCCTTGCACAATTTTTGTTTTTGGGTTCAAAACTACTTACATTGAGCTAACATTTTCAAACAAATGTGTGAATCTAAACTACGTACATGCTGGGGTCTGTTTCATTTTTAATTTTGTAAATTTGTGATCCCTAAGGACTAAGAACCTTTAGCGGTTCTTAGGTCTTTTAGAACTTGTTGGCAGAGAAAAAATATAGCCTTTTATTTCCCTGTCTAAGCCTGGTCTCTTCCATGAATTCTGTAATATTTTTTCCAAGAAATGCATGTGACTGAGACTATTAGGGACTGCTGGTTTAAATTATTGCATGGGGCACAAAAGTAACAAAGTCATCAAAACTTGTTTTAAAATATGTTAAATAGTTTATATTTATACAGAGCTTTTTCTAGTCTGAGGACACCAAAGCTCTTCAAACTATAATCAGTCACTGATACACAAATTCCCTTTCTAACAGTAGTTAGTCATCTATATAGCCAACACTGCTGCCCTCAGACAAATCAACAGACGTGTGATCGCCATACAATTGAATTCTACATTTAATCATTTTATTGTATCTGAAAAATCATTGACACATTTAAATAATTGTAGATGCATTTACTTCTCTTTAGATTATTTTGTATTTTTTATTTAAGACATAAGTGTTGTGTGTATTGCATTGTTGACATTTTATGAGTAATTTCTCATGAAATTATTTAATTACTTGTCAAACAATGTTAAACACTTTGAACTTTATGGCCCTGATCTGCTAAGATCCCAAATATGAGGCACTTTGTCCAAACAAAAACTTGCACTTGCACTTAGTGGGCATGTTGTAAGCGATCTATTAAGATTTCATATGCAACAAATTATAAATGCAAAAATTGTGTGGACAACCCTATTTAAAAGATTTTGCATGTACTGATTGTCACCATGGAACCTTAAGAGAGCAAAGGGACATATGCGTTCATCTTTCCACCATGACCTGCAGACAATTTGTGTGTGAGTTCGATTTTGAATTTCAATGTCCTAAATATAGACATATGAACTGCACCCTCAATCTAATTCAGCCTTGATAGATGTCATTGTGGATGGTATTTATATACAGTATGCATATTCTTCCAGTTTTTGCAGGGTCTGCTTACTATTTTTTCTACATATTATTGAAGATACATAATCTAAATGGACAATGCCTGCTATTTTGCTTTTATCACAGACACAATTCTGGCTGCATTTTGTTAGTAGATTAGCTCTGTGCCTGCTATCAAATTTGCATCTGTTTTTATACATGCAAACCTTAATGGTATAATGGAGGATTTTCATGACTTTATGAAAAGACCCTCCCTCTCCACTTAAAAAACAAAACAAAAAACAAAAAAAAAACACATGCACAACCCTATACTCACTCCCAAGAGGGAACGCTTATTAAACACATGCAAGAGCATGCACGAGCCAATCAGGGACTATACAGTATTTGCACATAAAATTAATTTACTGTATTTTAGATGTAGTTTTTAATGTTGATATTAAGATATTTTTAAATGCTTTAAAGGAAAAGTGTGGTCAGCAAGGAATAACCAATGAGTCATTTTTTATACCCTAAAAATAACACGTTCGTGTTGATTTAATGAATTTAGCGTTAATCAGCAGACAAATAAATACAATATTTTTCGTTGTGATCACTGAGTCCGGGACTGGCCATTTTTGGCCAAATATAGTAACACCTAACTCCTGACATCTTCCTGCAGTGACGTCACGGTGTGGTATGCAGAGCGTCATTCTTGCGGCTTTAGAAGCAAAACCAATGGGAACTACTAGACACACCTGCAATCAACAAAAAGTATTCAAGATTTTGAGAGAACTTCACAACTGAAATTCGCGAGAGCTATAGTTAAACTGATATTGCCCATGTGCATGGCAGTTGGATGTTGTAATACATCGGGTAGAAGTGAAAAAAAAAATGTCATTTCTCGTTTCCAATTCATGATCCACCAAGGGTTTGTCATTGGATTGCCAACTTGAAGAGGGAGGACTTGCCATCAAACTTCTGGGCAAAGTTTTAAATCCGTTAATCTTCGCTCCACATAGTGCACTGTACATCACCATCATGGATGATAGTGCGTTGTGACAAACACCAGATACAGCACTGGGACCTGCTTAACAGCCGATACCGCACTGTGATGTCACAAACCAGTACGTGGCAGTAGCATTCTTTGAAAAACATGGATGTCTCTGGTAAAGTAAATTCAAATGAAGTTACTCTTAATTAAAAGCACTTACCGTATTTATTGAAAAGTATGAAATAATTTCATACTTAAAGTACTTTCTGAAGTTTGTATTCTGAATGTGACCAGACTTTTCCTTTAATTCAGTATTTTTGTGGCACTTTTGTGACTCCTCATTTTCAGTTGTTGTCATAGGTTTACAAAACAACAACCATTATTCATTTGAGATAGTTAAATTAATATTAGTGGATTACAAAAATAGCAAATATTATGTGAATATTGTTATTCTTTGTGACATATTTTTATAGGGTTCAGTTAAAAAAAACAACTTTAATATCAGATACTTTTAGAATTCTGTACATCACTGTGCATGATCAAGATTGTTTTTAATATTGTCAATGATATTGCTGAGAGTTTTGTGCTGTATGCTTTGTTATCATCAAAACACAACTGGGTGCAGCATCACAACTAATATATAGTCAGAACTGTTCAGAGTAGTTCCATGGGAATTTGAATCCCCAAAGTCCATTAAAAAACTCATTATAAGATAACAGCTGATTCTATCCGTATTCTGTTTTTGTAATAATTGGTGTATTTTGGGCTGCCGAAATGGAAAACTGATAATCACGATTGTGAACAAGATCTTTTAGAAAGAGACTGTTTCTGAATGATGTTGTGCCTCTAATTTGTACATTGGCCCAAAACAGAAAAGATATTTTAAAGATAAAGTAAGATTATCTGAAATAAAATTATGCATTTAAAGAATGAAGAACAAAAATATTTAAGAAGAAACAATACAAAAAAACTGCATATGTTTGTATTTATGTAATTGTCATGTATGTAATTGGCAGTTAGTACTGCCTTCTAAGTTAAAATGTATTCTCTTATTAGTCAGCAGTACATTTACAACACATTTAGGTAAATGGAAAAAAAAGCTTGATGTGTCACCATATATATTAAGGCTTATTTGCATTATCCAGTTTTTGAAAAACCGAAACCTGTTGATAACCTGTTGATGACTTAAGCTGATTCTGGTTTCTTTTCTAAAACCTAAGAACTGTAAGTAAATATTTTAAATTTTTTTATCTTAGATTATCAATAGGCATGGTTAGCACAAAAATTAGATTAGCAAGACTAGGATGGTTAGTTTTACAAAACCATCAGTCTCCATGTGCACATTCTGGAAAAATGCTGATTCCAACTGAGATTTGCTAAACAATTTTCATTTTAATAACAGATAGAAGTTTGATATCCAGAAGGAAAACACAGAACAGTTTTGTTGTACTGCATTGAGCCTTCCTGTTTTCTTTTAGGTCTTGCTCTCTCTCTCTCTCTCTCTCTTGCACACAAGAAGCCTGATTGAATCACAGATGTGTTTCTGTCCCCTTATAAATATTTCCTTACATCTCTTTGCATTGGAAAATATACATTTCGGCCCCTTCCATAACAAATGTAATTTTTGAGTTTCTGGATAGTCACCAGTAAGGACAGATCAAGACTAATATAGGTTGACACCAGTGAACAGCTGACTTCTTTATGCCCCTTTAATTTTGGTAAACCATTTGGAAAGCTTTCTTATCAGCCGACAAATTGTCTTAAACAATCTATAAGTATTTAAATTTGCATTAAAATTGCAATAATCTAATTATCATCGTAGTTAACCTGCCAGTAGTTCCAAGGTCAATGTATCCTTCAAACGAATCTCTTTACCAATGGCTCTGTTGTGAAATAGATGAAAATACTATAGGGTGATAATGTTATTATTATTGTGTGGATAACAGATACAAAAAAGGTAAAACAGTGACTAGATGATGGTAAGAGGTAATATATATATTGTTATAATTTTTTTATTTTTTTAAGGCATGATCGTGATTATTATTAGCAGTGCAGCCTTAACTGTATGCATCCCTAAACAGTGGCTCATTTCTGTTTAGCATTTGGTTCCATCAAAAAAACAAAAACATGATACATATACTGAATTTCATTTTGTTTTGTAAACTGAGTTAAGAACATCACAAAAAAGTGCTGCTCCACCCATCCAGACTGGCTAGATGCTCTCATTCACCTACCCCATCCTATCATTACCCTAACATTCGAACACTAAAGCCCCTAACTGTCCTACATCTGCCTTGAGTTGGCAAATGGGCAGCATTGGCACTGTCTATTTGTCAGCCCTTCTATCCAGTCAGCTGCCAGCATTGTTGGACTTTTTAATCCCCATCATTACTTATGTTTGTTTTAAGTGTATTGTATTAGTTAAGTAGAATTTGAGACAAAAAAAGTATCAAAGAAAAATATACGCATAATAAATGTCTTTGAAGGGGGTTACAAAGCCCATATATTATTTGGCATGTTCAAGTCATATTCCTGGCTAAGTCCTGACAATATGACCCTTCTTCAACCGATTACAAACCTCTTGCCCCAACCCTGGTCACAGATCCCACAGTTGAGGTGGTGAACGACATGGAGGACCTTTGGGTGGTTGAAAACCAACAAGCTGAGTTCATCTGCCAGTTTTCCAGGCCAGTAAAAGCTCAGTGGAGAAAAGATGGGCAGCTTTTGCAGCCTGATGGCCGAAGGGTGGTAGTGGAGCAGGACTGGAGTGTCGCTCGCTTGTTCATTAACCGTGTTTCCCGTGATGACATGGGGACGTATTCCTGTGAGGCAGAGGGTACCTGTGGGGTCGCTTCACTTCATGTGGAAGGTGAGCTTCCCTCTAGATAGAAAGATCACCAGACTTAAAAGAATCACCTCTTCTTGGTGATACCCTTCAACTAATCTCATGTGGATTTTTATGAAATACCGGTATACACCTATCCACAAAACCTTTAAATATCAGACTTGTGTGGTAGGGTGAAAATATCTTCAGTCTTCTTTTGTTGATAAGATGTTATTGTCTTTCTATTTCCCCAGCCAAACCAATTAACATCGTCCAGGGCCTAGAAAATGCAGAAACGTTTGATGGGGGAGAAGCGTTGTTTGAGTGTGCCCTCTCTCGCCCTGAGAGCAAAGACTGCAACTGGCTTCTAGATGGAAAGCCAGTGAAGGAGTCACCTAAAGCAGAGATTGTGTCCTTTGAAAGTGGTCGTCGCCATCTGTTGCTCTTGAAAGATCTGCATGAGAAAGACAGTTGCACAGTGACATTTAAAGCTGGTACAGCTTCCACCTCTGCACAGCTTACAGTCAAAGGTAGGTCTTCCAAACTGAAAGACAAAGCAAACTAGCTTGCTTAGACTGTAACTCTCTATATAGGGTTCCTTTACAGGCTGGAAAAGGTTGAGAGATTCTTAAGATTTATTTTATTATTTTATAAAATTGGATAAGTATGGGAGAATATTCATTATTCCATACTTCATTCCTTAATTTTTTGTCAAAATGTTGTGCCATTCCTGTCATTGTTTCTTCTTGTGTCCTTCCTGTCTTCCTTCCTCTTTGACCTTATTTCTCACCCTCATTATGTCCCCTTTTTTTTGCTTTATTTTACTCCTGCACCCTTCCTTTTGTCCTTACCTTCCATCTTTCCGCACTCCTTCCTTTCTTTCTTTCTTTCTTTCTTTCTTTCTTTCTTTCTTTCTTGAACCACTAATTTTTCGCTTTGCCCATCAGTGTCTTTCCTTCCTTTAAAACCATCCCTTCTTTCCTTCTTTTGTTTTTCTTACAAATTGCTGCATAGAATATTATTCCCAATAGTATACTGTTATAGGTACTGTTATATTTCACATTGTTAAAAACAATAATAAAGAACTAAGAACTATGAAAAGTCTTAAATATAAACTTCAATATGTGAATGAACCTGTCTTTATAACACATTTTAATCAGAAAGATTTTCAGTATCACATTGTGATTTCTCTCCCCCCTGTTTTAAGGCTGGAAGCTGGACATTGTGCAGGGTTTGGAGGACAAAGTGGTAGCTGTCGGAGAGAAAGTTGAGTTCTGTGTAAAGGTTACTGAGCCTGTTCCTGCAACAGACGTGGCCTGGTATGCTAACGGAGTTGAACTCAAACCCAGCGATCTCTGGACTATGAGGGTGGACGGCAGTACTTATCACCTTCTCCTGAGACAGGCTCCGCTCATGCCCCAGCAGGAAATTACATTCGCAGCCAGGGATGCTCTCTCTTTGGCCAAACTCACCATCATCAGTAAGACTTTCATGAGCAAGATGCATTGATTTCTGTAGCTATTGTTTTATTTTTGTGTGTAAAACTTTTGCTTTTCCTTTTATTTACAACAACAGCTGTGCCTGATCCTCCAGAGGATCCAGAAGTCCTCTCTAAAACTACAGAGTCTGTGACTCTCTCCTGGTTTACTCCTCTTCACGATGGAGGGAGTCCTATCATAGGTTACAGGGTGGAAATGCGACTGGTGGACAGTGCCCTTTGGCTTCCATGTCATTCTGAGCCTGTTTGCAACACTGAATTTGTAGTGGAAAATCTGGTGCCTGGGAGTGGCTACAGGTTCAGAGTGGCAGCAATTAACAAAGCTGGAACTGGAGAGCCCGTTGAGCTTCCTCTGACAGTGCAGCTTGGTGAGTGGGCAAGCTCTGATTACTTTTTAATAACTGTTTTGCATTGTCATGAAGATGAGTGCTGTAGTCTCAAAATCTACACATTTGTACTTTCATCGAACATGATGACGATAAATGCGGAATAATACTATATCGTAAACTTTTGAATTAAGGGATGCACAACATATCATTATTAACAACAGTATCGACCAATGTTGGTCATTTTTAATGTATCAGTATAAAAACTAAACCTGGGCGAATATTAACAACAAATGTTTATTTCCATCTAGCTGTTGTTTTTTGTTTCATGGGCGAGGGTGGGGGGTGGTGGTGGTCATGTGACAGTGAAAGTGATGCAGCACAGGATGTGTAACAGAGAACCTGATGAGCCAGATTGGTAATATGTGGAACTCAGGTTCAGTTTCACACATTATCATTTTAGGACTCCTTCCCTCGAATCTGGGAAAGGAAAGACATTCAGAAGAATTCAGCTGCGAGCTGATTGGTTGACGCGACACCTAGTGCCCTCCTACCAACATTTGGATTTATCCAGTCATGAACATGTCAGAAGACGGCATGAGAAAAAACATTCTTGCTTTTCCTTTGGGAATTCTGACAAAATAGATGTAATATTAGCAGCTACTACTATGTACCCCTGCACTGCCAGGTTTATTTTGGTTTGACTGTGGGCTAAGCAGCTCTTGCTTTCATCACAGCTACCTATAAACCATAAAACTGCAACGTGATTGCCCTATTGTTTTGTGTCTGTCCTGATGGGTTGCAGTAAAAGCGGCAAAATATGGATTTCTGTGGGCTTGAGAACGCAAATGTAACAAGAAAAATCAGCTTGCAGGCAAAGTTACATGATTGTGGGTGTTCTTCTGAAGCAGAGAAGCATTGTCAGCACTGTTGGTAGTTTTTTTCACAGTGTCCAAAAAGTAGAAAAGTATATAGTATTGATTAATATTGGCTATCAGCCATAAAGACAACAATATCAGGTATTGATTTTGGATGCGGTTTTCATATTGGAGCCTTAAATCAAATCGTTTGTGTACCAATAAGCTGTATTAATGATATTTCCTTTGTGTTATAACATATAAATCAAAAACTTGTAGAATACACTCTATCTACAGTTAAGTTTTGATAGGGAGGTTGTGGGGTAATATTGAAGACTTGATAATTATGTCATTTTTTAAAACATAGCTTTGAAATGAAGGGGTATTATCTGCATGCAGATACTGTTCAGGTGTACAGTAATACTATAAAAAAGATGATGATTGTGTTTTGTAGACTGATTATACATAGAAGGTAATATACATATATAGATATTATACATTTTAGGTATGTGATATATTTCAGGTGATTTGAAAGCTATGCTACTGAAAATTTTAAATTTAGGAAATTAGAATATGACATGCATTCTTGTACATTAGTAGAAATTCAGTGCAGGGAGTCGTTTGGGAGAAATAAAGAGCAGACATAGCAGAGATAATTGTAGCTTTGGAAGACCTGTGTAGCAAAGCTAATTCAGGCAAATAGGAGAGAGTTGAAGAAATAATGAAAGGTGACAAATAAACACAGTGTTAAACACAGAGGGAACCAGCTAAGTATGAGACATGAGAGTTTTTTTCCAAACTACACACTGAACAAAACACTTGAACATACAGAAATACCTTGATGACAATAATAGACAAGCAAAGTTATCCTTTTACAAAGCTGCTACTGTACCAGAGACAACTTTAGCTACGCTTCACATGGATTATTAGACAATGGTCCAATGTTCTCTATCCTGATAAAAATATAAAGTTAACATTTCATTTGAAAACCATGATTCTATAGTCTGTAGGAAAAGCAGAGAGGGGCAAATTGTTTCACATAGTTTGAAGTTTCTACAACTAGTGATCATTTAGGGAACCGTGTTATAGACTGAGGTTGGTCAAATCTTTTATCAAATCCATTGTACCATTCACACGTCTGTTGGGATTTTCTAAAATATTAGGATCTTCTTTAAACGCTGGGTTTAATGTTTTCATTCGCTGTAAGCCGCTACTATTTAAATTAACAAAGAAAAGACATGAAATATTTCACTATATGTAAATTTATTCAGTATTTATATTTTACATATTCTGGCTCATCTTGGCAAGTTAGTTTTAGGTAATGTTGAAGTACTGGTGTTATTGAACCCCATGGATAACAATTTCAACTGTATTGTGGTCATATATGCAGATGCAAAACAGGCAGCAGTAATGGAACAGCCCAGTCTGCCTCCTGAGGCTGCTGAGGAAGGGGAGCTTCATGACCTGTGGGACGCCTCGGCAAAGAAACGGCGCATGAGCAGAGAGCCCACATTAGACTCCATCTCAGAACAACCTGAGGAGAATGGTAGAGGGGGCAAAAAACAACAGAAAGAGTCTGTGTCTGGAGAAAAGGTTGAAATCAGGGCAACTGAGAGGGAACACGATGCTGTGTCCAAGAAACAGACAGAAACTGTCAAATCCATCAGTTCTGAAGAAGAGATTGTTACTGGAGGCTCCTCACTTGTGTCTTACCTCAAAAAGAGCAGCAAGACTGAATCAACAGAAACCAAAGAGGCAGAGAGTCTTACAGCCGAGAAGTTCTTCGCACATTTCCAAATGGTAGAGCAAAAAACGGTGCAGCAGACTGAAACAAAAGCCACAATAATACAGAAAGCAGAAGAAATACAGCTTTCTTCTCATGAGGCCGGCATCATGGAGATCACAAAAGAGGAGGAACCCGGGCTTACCGATGCTGCCATCAAGATACAAGCCGCCTTCAAGGGTTACAAGGCTCGCAAGGACATGCGGCCCATCTTCAAAGAGGTCTTTAAGGACCAAACTAAAGAACCGAATGACACCATACATCTTGAATGCGTGACAGAAGGTAAACCAGATAAGGTAAGCTGGATGAAGGACGGAGAATTACTGCTGGATGGAAAACATCATCATATAGATATCTACAATGATGGCACCTGCTCTCTAGTCATTACTGCCATCACCACAAAAGATACTGGTGTTTACACCTGTGAGGTCACCAACAAGTTTGGAGTAACATCTCACAGTGCTAAGGTGACTGTAGGAACAGTAAGGGAATCATCGGGCCGCCGACCCCTCACCATAGGTTACAGTGCCGACAGTGAGCCTGAGAGTTCCTCTGGTAGCGAGATGGATGAGTCACTGCGACAGGCAAGTAAACGCCTGAGGCGCCTTCTCCGCACTCGCCTCCCACCTGACGTTGAGGAAGAACCCTTTATCAGCGCAGATGAAGGGGACATGCGTCCCCCAGACCCTCACTCTTACCGTGAGGATGAAAATTACATCTACATTCGCTTTGAAACCCGAGCAGATGCTGAGGTAGCCTCTAAGAGATTCCAGGAGATGTTCACTGTCCATGGGGTGCCTGTAGAGACTGCCATCATAACAGCTGGTCTTCACAAAGTAGAGCTGCGAATTAAAAAGATGGGCTACATCCAGGATGGTACACAGACCCCGACACAAGATAGGCAACCTCCTGCTTTACTGACTGGAGCTCCAGGTAAGAATTGAAGTTATAATTCATTAATACATTTTCTTCATAGTATTGCCTACAGTGTCTTCTAAACATTTTCATACACCTAAACTATGTTATATCAATGTATACCACCAGTCACAAGGGGCATTCCTCCAATATGACTGGATTTGAGGTCTATTTCAAACAATAATCAATTTGTTAGCCTCTAAATATGTAAAGCTAGTAAAGCACTTCCACAAAAGACCTACAACTTATTGCAAAAGATAAGTAGTATTGATTCAGAGGGGGCTTTATACATATTCTTCTTATTTTTCACATTTTTACCAAGGGAACAATAAACATTGACAAATTGGCTTCCATATCAGTATTACGTGGGACCTTGTGCTGTAAAAAAAAATCTAAATCATTAATATTCCAGCCCAGAGTGAGAGTTATGCTGTGTATATATTACATTCCACCAAGGAGTCAGTGTTTACTTGCCTATCAATCCATTCCTTCTTGTTTCCCAGCTGCCCCAGTGTTTCTGACTGAGCTGCAAAGTCAGGATGTTCCTGATGGCTATCCCGTCAGCTTTGATTGCGTTGTAATCGGCAAGCCCCCTCCCACTGTTCGATGGTATAAGGATGGCAAGCTACTGGAGGAAAATGATCATTACATGATCAACGAGGACCAAGAGGGTTGCCACCAGCTCATCATCACATCTGTGTTGCCAACTGACATGGGAGTTTATCGTTGCACAGCCGAAAACAGCAGTGGGATTGCTGCCACTAAAGCTGAACTCAGAGTTGACAGTAAGTAGAAATGAATGAACATAAACAAAATACACCTCTTTTAAGTCAGCATTATTAAATAAAGTGTATTATCTCTATAAGTGTCGTGCAGCTCAGATTATGACACTGCTGCAGATGCCACTGAGACCTCCTCTTATGTCAGTGCCAAAGGCTATGTGTCAAGGTAAATACAGCTTTTCTTATATTGAATTGATCGGAATATCTTATATGTTTATATATATTGTATTTGTATTTTGTATGCAGTAGAGAAACTGAAACCTTCGAATCTGTAAGTGAAGACGATCAGCTGCCACAGGTTGTAGATGAACTTCACGATGTTCACGTCAGTCCAGGTTCACCTATTGCTAAATTGCAACTCAAAGTTAAAGGTAAGGCCACCATATATGTTAGCTGATTGTATATCGTCTCCTCGAAAAGATTTCAAAACAGAGAACAGAGAATTGGTTTTACATCTGGCTACATATTTCAGATGCACCAACGAACAAACCCTTTCCATGATCGACTCTTGTTTTTCCACGAGCAAGATCCCTTTCACATTTTCTCTTTTTAGTCCCCTCAGAAGGTTTAAACTTTTTCCTTGCCTCAGGCATGACCAGTAGTCGAGCAGGCAGAAAAATAGTATAGAGCAAAAGCCTTAGCCCCATGACAATGTAAGAGCCTGTGGCCGTAAAGCCATACGTTCTTCAAGGTCACACGACCTGGCCAATGACGGTCCGTCTTCTCCCAGCCTCTCCCTTATTTCAAGAAGGGAGGCCCGCTTGTAGCATCGATAGTGTCAAGCACTGTATATTGGCCTAAGGACTCAATTTAAATAACCAGTGGTGTCAAAAGTACACACATTTGTTACTTGAGTAGGAGTATAGATACTGCAGTTTAAAAAAACTCTGGTAAAAGTAAAAGTGAAAAAGTATGTGCTCCAAAAATTACTTGAAGTATAAAAGTATAAAGTAACCTTTAAAAATCAGCCATATGCCACGATATGAATTAAAATCTCAATTTTTCGACTACTTTGAATATTTCTTTGTAATAGGGCCAAGGATGATGGAGGTCTCCTCTCCATCTCCCGATACGCTCTCGCCTGTCTCCGACCTTTCACACATTTCAACATTTTTTTCTGAATCCGACATTGTAGCATGGCATAGACAGTTCATGTTTACAGTTAAAAGAATACCTGTTTGCTTCTGATGATTTCCTTTAGCTAACCAATGAGTGTTTGCGTTATATGACTCATCCAATTACAGTAGTTTTCACTAGATGTGGATGGAGCCAATGATCTGCATTGGATGACGCACATGACGTGAAATAAATATTTATAAACATTAAACCGAAGACAAGAGTAACGAGCAACGTTTGTTTTAAAAATGTAAGGAATAGAAAGTACAGCTACTTGTGTGAAAATGTAATGAGTGTAATGAGAAAATAAGTAATGGAGTAAAGTATAGATACCTAAAAAGTGTACTTAAGTACAGTAACGAAGTATTTGTACTTCGTTAATTTATACCTCTGAAAATAACTCATATTTAAATTTCTTTGTATTTGCAATTTTGTACTGCTTAGCTTTTGTTTGATCTTTTTGAGCTGTATTTCATTATATCATTTATCGTTTTTGTAAGTATTTTTTCACATATAAAAACACTTAAAACTGAATTTTGTGTGATTTAACTTTTTGAAATATGTATTTAATAGATTATACAAATATGGGTGAAAAGATAGTGGGAATTGATCATCTTTCTGTATGACAGGGTTCCCTACACCTAAAGTATACTGGTTCAAAGACAGCCAGCCTCTCCGACCATCAAAAAGGATTCAGCTGTCAGCAAGGAGAGATGTTCATGCAGTGGAGATCTTTGAAGTGAAGAGAGAAGACATGGGGGAGTATTCTGCTTACATAAGCAATGCAGCTGGCTCTGCGTACTCCTCTGCCCGTTTGATAGTACTGAGTATGTACACAAATACCTAAGTAGATAACAATTCAGATCATGCAAAAACAACACAGGCACCACTGTAGTTCAGCATTCAGGTAAAGCTGATAACAACAATAATAATGTTTGGATTCTGTACCAGGTCCAGGGGAGATTTTACCACCTGATAAAAAAGGTAAATTACTCTTCATCCTGTTAATTGCGACAAACTGTAAACATTTAAAAGTCTTTAAACATCTCTTATAATCATTTTGAAAAGACGCCAAGGAGCCACTGGTGCCACCCCGCTTCCTTGAGAGGTTCAGCAACAGAAAGGTGAAACAAGGTGCAAGCATCACTCTCTCTGTCAAGGTAGAAGGTCAGTTCACATTCCTTTTTAAATGTCTTTAACCCCCAACCCAAACCCCCAGGTGTTCTCTGATGTGTTTGTTGACTGTACTCTTTCAGGATCTCCTACTCCCACAGTCTCCTGGCTGAGGGAGAAATCATCAGAGGATGTTTTGTGGATTAAACCTGATACTAAAGGATACAAAATAGCAAGCTCTGGTCGCCAGCACAGCCTTATATTGATGGATGTACACCAGGAGCATTCCGGGACCTACACGTGTATTGCAACAAATAGAGCAGGGCAGTCGCTCTGTAACTGTCAGCTCCAGGTGGATGATGGTAAGGAAAACTTTATATTTTTTACTTAATCTTAAATTCTTGACAACACTAAAGTGACAAGCAGACTTTCAGTACATCAAGTAAAGGCTGCTTAGTATTTGTAACTATAACTAAGTGCATCCTATCCTCTTTTTACACAGCACCGCAACTAAAGAAAGATACTGCAGCTTCAGAGTAAGAATGAACATATATAGTCATCCGTGTTACACATACATGTATGATGCGTGTGTAACATTTCATTCTTTTTAGGGTCCTTGGGATTACTGTTAGTCCCCCGGAAGATGAGGCTGGCAGAGGCAGTGGTAAAACAAAAATGATGAAATATTCATATTGCTTGGTTGTTTAACATTTAATGCATCACAAACTGCTGTGAAATTGATGGTGTTTTTTCTCCTACTTTTTTCCATATTATAAGAACGTAAAATACCCTACTTAGGGGAAGTTGGCTCGGAGGAATTTCTCATGAAACTCACTTCTCAGATCACTGAAATGGTTTCAGCAAAGATCACCCAAGGTAAGTATCTGATACCAGTTTAGAAAAATCCTTTGGATATTCACTTTGAATTTTAGTTTATCGTTAAGGTTTACTCTTAAATAGCTTAATGGATAAGCAACAAAATAGAAGAGGATGTTTTTAGTTTAAGAAGGTAGGTAAAATGTAGCTCAATACTAATATAACGTTGTGGTGTGCTCTTTAGTAACATGTCCCTCGTCTCATTTTAACACCATCATCATACAGGCATAAGTTATGCAAGTCATATTATGTTTGCATGGCTGATCATCAAGTATTAAAAAAAACTTGATGTTAGCCTGGTTTTCTCCTCTCTGCTCTTACAAGCTAATTGCTTTGTTCCTCATGTCAGGTTTTGTGGTTTTTGCTGCTTTTTTTTCTACCAGCACATAAACTCTGTGGAAACATTCATGTTTAATCACTAAAATTCTTAAACCAAATTATCATAAATTATTCATTTGTATTTATTAGGAACTGAAAACAAACCTGACAGCATTTTTTTTATTGCTTCCACATCTTTTTTCTCACCTTTTTTTTTTTATTTTTTTTTTTTACCTTTTCTCTGCATGCTGTGTTTCATCATCATGCAGGGGAATTTAAAACCTGTCCTAACTTCACACAGAGATCCTTAACCACAAAACTCATTTTCTTTATCAGTTCCCACATTTAAATGTTCACCCAATAATCAATTTGTTATTCAGACAGTTTACAGAATCACGAAGTGCTCCAGTGGATGAAATCTTGGCCCAAATCTGCCAGTATGTATACCAAATGCATCAGCATCACAATTAATCTACAATTCTTTCAGACATATTTATATTCTTAGATGAGCTTAAACAAGTTTGCATCAGAAAGATGATAACAGAAATTCTTGTTTTCATGGATTTTACGCAATTGCCTTTATTTTCTTCTTATAGTAGAAGATTAAATCTTTCTTTTATATGTCAGCTCCCCTCTTTTCCTTTAAATTTATATAAATTAATGTTCTCATCCTTTCAAACAAGATGTAACGCCTCAATCAGCCTACAGCTGGGATACGAGGCATGTTGGGCATGTTGCATGTTGCCACTAACGCAGTAGAAATGCATTGTTTAGCAAACCAATAAATTGCTTAATTCTGATCTTTTTCATAATTTTAATTTGAAAAATATTCTTTAGCTAAAATATTCCTCAGGTTTTTTATATCAAGACAACAAGTGCAGAAGTTATTGGTAGAATAGTGAATTTGGACTCACTACCTTTAGCAAGCTAAATTGTAATAACCTAATTCAACGGAGTATTAATAACTGGCCCAAATGTTAAAGCCAACAAATTAAATAATTTCTCTCTTGATTAAATTTGTTTTTAATACAGAACATTGATCATTTTTAAAACAATAAACACTGAAAGGACACGCCCTGCATGTTGTATCTCTGCTCTAACTGCTTTCCTAACCTTGTTGTCCAAGCTTCGTTACGAGTACCAGGTGCCGACAGTGACGATGAGACCAAAACTCCTTCTCCATCACCCCATCATGGCCGCTCTCGACCTCCTTCCCTCATTGCAGACTCCTCCTCAGAGTCAGATGAAGGAGACGCCAGAGGAGAGGTAGGAACTGTGGAACCAGAACAGTCTTGTTTGCTTGATAACAGAGTTTACATCACATTTACATCTGAGTGGGGAAGCCACCTTCAAATTCAGTTTGTTTGTTTCTATAAAGAGTTTCTTGATGAATATAAATGTCAGCAATTGAAATAAACCAATGCGCACTAATAGCAATGATTAGAGATAAATTAATGACTTAGTAGAAACATTAAGTACGTTTTTTTCCATGACGCTTATCCAAAGCGGGGTTGCAACAGGTGCTGGTGCATATCTCCAGCTTACTATGGACGAGAGATGGGGTACATCCTGGACAGTTCACCCATCGCAAGGCAACACAGAGACAAACAGGAAAACAATCATTCACACACACTCAAACCTAAGGAGAATTTTTTTTGGAAAGCTAATTAACCTAACAGTCATGTTTTGGACTGTGGGAGGAAGCTGGAGTGCCCGGAGAGAACCCACACATGCTCAGGGAAAATATGCAAACCTCATGCAGGAAGACCCCTGGCTGGGAATCAAACTCAGTACCTTCTTGCTGCAAGGCAGCAATGCTACCCACTGTACCACTAAGCAGACCCACAAAGAGGTTTTTGAAAAGTAAAAAGAAAGAGAAAACCTATGTTTAAATCTATAGCAGATCATAATCCTCTTGAGTTGGTACAAAATGCTTTTTTTCTTGCTTTTCAACCAATAAAAGCCACAACAGCACATAACCCCAGTCTTATTTCCTGTTCACTGGCTTCATCTTTATTATATGATTAATTTTACATTTTACTATTTGTTTTTAAAGCTCTTAATGTTCCTGCGCCACCATACCTGTCTGAACTCTTATGTGTTTGTAACCTAACTAGGGACTTAAGGTCAAACTAGCTCTTGTGAGATGTCCCTAGAGCTGCATACTGGTGGGACGGGGCCTTCTCAATCGCTGGGCCTAGGCTCAGGAACAAATTGCCTCGTGACATTCGTACCATTATTATCTTTGCTGTTTTTAAGGCCAGGCTCGAAACCAAGTCAAATTCCTTGTAATAGTGCAAACCTACTTGGCAGTAAACTTGATTCTGATTCTTATTCAGACTTGCTTTGAACATTCAGTAGCAAGATGTCATATTTATTTTGTACTTTAGTTTATTCTTTTTTCAATCTATTTTCAATCATGTCTGTCACCAAAAGTTGATAGGTTGATTAAATGATTGAATGATAAGAAACAGCAAAAAAGCAAGAAAGAAAATTGTATCTATCTGAAGTCCTCAAGCTTCACATCACTGATGAAAAACCTTATGTCATATCATTGTAGATGTTTGACATTTATGTGGCATCAGCGGACTATAACCCCACCATTGCAAGTAAAGACTCAATCTCTCTCAAAGAGGGACAGTATGTGGAGGTTTTGGACTCGGCTCATCCTCTTAAATGGTTGGTTCGGACCAAACCGACCAAAACAACACCATCACGACAAGGCTGGGTGTCCCCTGCCTACTTGGACAAAAAAATCAAAGTATGTTTTTCGTTAAACATATTTATGCATTATTGATTTTATTTTCATTATATTTTCTGCAGCCGTTTGGTTTGTGAATGACTATAATTTTTATTCTAGCTCTCAGCTGATGCTGGAGATCTTCCAGAAACAAGTGTGGAAGAGGTTTCTGAAGGGGAATACAAGAGGAAGTTATTGTAAGTGGAGCGAAATTGAAAGTTAGAAACTTAAATATGCAGCAACATACACTAACAAAATGTCATTTGGTGCATACAGTCAACTGATGCAGGATCTAATCAATGGAGAATCACAGTTTGTGAGGGAGGTCGAATTCTTCACATCTCACCACCTCAAGCAAGCTGACAGTTCGGATGCTCCACCTGATGTCTGCAGCCAGAAAGAGACCATCTTTAGGAACGTTGATGACATCAAGTCCTTCCATTCCAAGTGAGCCAACGTCTTAAACATAATTATCAGCAAGATTTGGTAAATCATAAAAAGGACAGCATCAAATAAGTTTGTCTGTCTGCCAAATTTTGTTTCTAGGACATTCCTTCCTAGGTTACAAGACTGTGACACAGATGATGATGTAGCTATGTGCTTCCTGAAGAACAAGGAAGGGTTTGAACAGTACCTTCAGTATCTTGTAGGACAGTGTCAAGCTGAATCTGCTGTCAGTGACAAGACTGTCCATCGATTTTTCAAGGTATCTATTTCTGATAAGTGGAACCTTTATTCACCTTCCACCCATGAAGCACCTTGTAAAAATATAGAAGAACATTCCTTTTCATAATTTATTAGGTAAAAATACAACAATTAACATACTTTCGTATAATTTTTTGCAGTAGACACAATTACATGAAAAGCATTAAGCAGAGGAGCAGCCTTGAGGACATTGTTAAGTCAGAATATCACAAATTCCTGAACATAACCAATCTGAGAGTTGTGGCAAAATGTAAAAATCACTTCTCACAATTACTCATCAAGTCTGAGTCTGATTGAGCTATTTTGAAAAAATGGTAGAGATTCACTGTGGAAGACTGCATTAAAGGGCAGTTGAATAGATCAGTGTTTCCATTCCCTTTG